GCAAACCACCCAGTAATATATTCTAAGACTGTTATTTATGAGATATAAATATCAGGGGGCTTTAAAAACATCACGGGAGAATTCAATTATCGTTTAATTCCTTCTTTCCATGAACTTGATGAAGCCTTATGGCAAAGGTATTAAATTGCTTGTTTGCAACGTTTTTGATTTTTTTACTTAAAATACCATATCAAAAACCAAATCTGTTGTCATCTAGTCAATTCAACCCACGAGAAAAAAAATACTGTTCCTGATTTAAAGTCTCCTAGCAAGAACACTATTAATTAAGACTAGAACTGTGCGTGTCTGACAAGATAATAAAGTTTCCAACTACATCAGGATTGTTACACAATTTAGGATCAAACTCTGTTTGATAATAAATTCCATCAGCTTCTTGTGTTTTTTCCTATTCTAAAGAAATTCCTATAAAATTAGGCTTTTACTTTTTCTGGTTGAACCCGAAACACTCAATTTTACTTTTATGCTCTTAAAACAGGCATGATTTTTCAAATAGCCAAAACATCTCTATTTGGCCAATGATAGAGGGACCAACATCAGGGAAAAATCAGGGTCTGTTTTCATCTCTTTGTTATGTCATTATTCTTGAGCTGCTGCCAGGTGCTTCCCCTGCTCTTAAGGGCCCCAAATGTAATTTTATTGCATTCCCCCATCTGTTTTAGGAGAAGTTGATATATACACTGTAAATTAGGGAGCAGAAAACCACATTTTTCTTTTATATGGTATAGGAATGGTAGAGTTGTGTGTGTAAATCTGGCAATTTCCCGAGTGGCAGGCTTTACTTTTCTGCAACAAGAAGACACAGTACAGTAGAACATCAGAAGGAAGAGCAGTGCGTTCATATCACATTGTGCCATCCCTGAGAGAGAGCTGACAGTACAATAATAGCATTGGCAGGGAAATAAAATGTTAATCATTTTATTTTATAATCAAGGGGAGTAGAATCAGAAACTATATTAAACAAGCAAGTGACTTGGTTCTGGTCGTGTGACTTTAAAGTGCTTCTAGGAGGATGTTAGGATGGGTAAAAAGGAAGATATATCTCAAAACCTCAAGCTTTCTGAAATTTCTGGAATTAAAAAAAAAACGTCTGTCTAGTTTCAGTAAAGAAAAACATGCTACAAACCCGCAGCTGGTTGTGCACAGAGCATTTTCCAAAGCTAAGTGACTTTAGTGCATTGTGATTTTTAGCTGATGCAGGAACACAGAATCAGATATAATTTAGACTCCCAGCTAAGGCATTTAAAACATTTTTAATGCACAGGAGGAGTGCTTCTTCCTACACCAAAAATTAGTAACTCTCCTTAATTTATTCCCATTTTTTTTAATGGTAAAGAACTGAAAAGCTTAGCATGTAAATATTTTCATTGTGTGACTATGTCAGAATGTGTCCATTCTCCTCCTGACAGCAAGACTTCGACTACTGTGCTAACACTGCTTTTCTTGCTCTCAGCTTGAAAGACTTGAACAAAGTGGTCTAGCCCAAACTAGAGTCATATGTGCGTGTCTGGGTGTGTTAATTCACCTGAACTGACATTTTTGTAGGCTGACAATAGCCAGATAGAAAAATTTCAAGCAGTTAAAACCTAATTGCTGAGTCACTTCAGAATTAGTGGATTTTACCAAATTTGTCTTCAAAATAATTTCACAATTTCCATGATCATTATCATGAGGGATTCGCAGTTTCACTTCATCCGTCTTCCCTGCAAAAGGATCACTCATCCCTCCAGTGAGGAATTGTTTGTTCCTGTGAGAAGCACTAGACCTCTTTTCCTTTCTGTCCTCTGTCTCTGTGATGAGCTTTCTAAAGTCCTCATTTCTTTTGCAAAATATGTTTGGCTATTACAAATTTCTACTTTTCTGGAGCATTTTAAAAACTGCAAAAGTCAAAGTGTTTCTAGACAATTCAGAAGAGTGGCCGACAAAGCTTAGTTTCCAAGATTTGAACTAAGAATTCAGATGATGAAGAGGTAGATTCCACATATGTATCTCCTTGCCTGGGTCATTCCCTCGAGTCACATATTTCCTGCCAACTTCTCTCTACAACTCGTCTGCTTGCCTTGAAAGGGCAGGTCAAATTTCTCCCGGTGCAATTACTTTTCAATCTTCCAAGTTACTAAGATCATGAAGATGGCAAAGAACTGTAATATAATGTTCTATTATGCCAGAGTTCACCAGGAGTCAGAGCCAAGCCAAGGAAACTGACAAGGGAGGCTCCTCTGCTTCCTCCAGCAGTCAAAGCAACAAGTGCATGTGGTTGGTGTCAGTGCTACAGCGGATCTTTCTGTGAGGTATGAATAAATGTGGAGAAATCAAACCGAATATCCTAGAGTCCTGGGTTTTCAAACTAAATTGCTGTGGGGCAATCAGATATCGCTTGTTTCAGGAGGTCATTCTTGACTTCTGCAGTCTGAGAGAATCATTTTTGCTCTTGCTACTTCAGGCACCTGGTGTCTCCTTGTCACATTACAGGTAGCCCTCTCCTGCTTAGTTGCATACCTATTTCTCTACTTCCTGTTGTTCCTATGCAAATGTGCTCTGCTGGGACTGAGGTCTTTTACATTTAATCAATGTTTTAGAAGCGAGCAATCTTTCATTTGAATCCTTTCATCTTTAATTTGGAAAGAACCTCTATGAAAAATAAGGAATGATGCAGGAGGCCTTAAGAGATGGTAAAAATACACAGAGTTTGAGTACCAAAATGAATTAGTAGCCAGCCCACCAATTCTGGAGCTAGTATATGAGCAAGAACCAATAGTGCAGAATCAAGAAATTCAAACTGCACTTAATTTATTTGCCAAATAACAAGATTCTAGGAATGGACAGACAAGTATTGAAATGTTTCAGCAAGCTGAAGAAACAAAGGCAGCACTCACTCAACTATGCTAGGAAATTTGTAAGACAGCTACCCAGTCACTTGACTGGAAGAGAACCATAAATGTACCCATTACAGAGAAAGGTATACCAACAGAATGCTCAAACAATGAACCACGAATATTGCACACAAGTAAAATTTTGCTTAATATCACCAACAAAGGTTGTAGCACTATGTTAACAGTTAACGACCAGAAGTTCAGGCAGATTTCAAAATAAAACATGTAACAAGGGAAATCATTGCTGATGTCAGATGAATCTAGGCTCAAAGCAGAGAATACCAGAAAGATGTTTATTTGTGTTTCATTGACTACAAAGGAATTCAACTGTGAGGATCATAATAAACTGTGGATAACATTTGAGAAGAATGGGAGTTCTGGAATACCCATGAGTTCGAATGGAATACTCATTCGAAACTTGTACATGGATCAAGAGACAGTTGTGGGAACAGAACAAGGGAACACTGCATGGTTTAAAATGAGGAAAGGTGTGCTTCAGGGTTATATCATTTCACCATATAGATTTCATCTATATGCTGAGAAAGTCATCAGAGAAGCTGGATTATATGAAGAAGAGTGTGGCATCAGGATTGGAGGAAGACCTATTAAATAGCCTGCACTATGCAGATGACACCACCTTGCTTCCTGAAAGTGAGGAGGACTTGAAGAACTTGCCGATGAAGAGCAAGGATTGTAGCCTTCAGTATGCATTACGACTCAATGTAAAGAAAACCAAAACCTTCACAGCTGGACCAATAGGAAACATCATGATGAACGGGGAAAAGGTTGAAGCTGTCACGGATTTTGTTTTACTTGGCTCCACAATCAATGTTCAAGGAAACAGTAGTCAAAAGGTATACAGACACACTGCATGAAGTAAAGCAGCTGCACAAGACCGCGTTAGAGTCTTGAAGAACAAGGATGTTCTTTTGAGGATTAAGGTGGATATGCCCCATGATATTCTCCATTGCATTATATGCATGTGAAAGTGGGGCATTTTATAAGGTAGATCGGAGAAAAATAAATGCCTGAGGTAGTTAGTTTATTGTGCCAACCTGGCCCATAAACACATGTGGGGTTAATTGAAGGGCAGAGGGATAACTGGCTTGGTGAGCCTTGACTTTCTAGTTCTCAGGTCTCTTGCTTTGTGATGGTCGGACAAGGGTGCAGCTGCCTTAGCCAGTTCCCTGCCAGCTGACAAAGCTCACTTCTTGCAAGACAACTCTTAGGAGGAGCCACATGGACCTACCCCGATGCAGCCCTGGGTGCTGGAGCATCCATGTCGAGACCCCTGCCAACACTGAGAAGCTTACACATTCACTGACTCAGCTTTTCTCCTGCAGTCGGCATCATTGCATCTGTTTTGTGAGATAGAGGAGGACTTTGTGGATTGGTGTCAGACATATGGGTTAATGGTGGACTTGTGAGTTTGGGCATCACTGGGTTGGGATGTTTCCTTGATGTGCACTTAACCTTTACATAAAACTCTCTCTTATACATGAGTTTCTGTGGATTAAGTACCCAGACCAACACAATGCATTTGAATTGTGATGCTGGAGAATATCGAAAGTACCATGAACTGATAAAAGCATAAACAGATCTGTATAAGGAGAAGTAAGGGCAGGGTGCTCCTTGGAGGCAAGGATGGCAAGACTTCACCTTACAGACAGACGACCCTGGAGAAGGAAAACGTGTTTGGAAAAAAGGATGGGTGAGGAAAAAGGGAAGGCTCGCCATACAGTGGATGGACACAGTGGCTGCAGCGATGGGCTCGAGCACAGAACAATTGTGAAGACGGCGCAGGTCTGGGCAGTGTTTCACTCTATTGTGCATAGGGCTGATATGGGCCTTAGCCTACTTGACAGCACTTAACAACAACAACAACAACAGCAAACAACATTCTTTAATTTTCTTCTTCAACAATGACTGTATACCATACACCAGGTACTGTTCTAGTCCTGGATTTTCAACAATGAACAATAGACAAATACTGCAATTTACATTCTGGGTAAGGGAGATAAAACATAAATAAGCCAATAAATATACAATGTATCACATAATGATAAGTGTTTTGGGAAAAAAAGTGATTTGAATAAATGATTAAATGAATCATTCAACTTCATATTCGATGTTCCCCTAGAGAGTTTACATTACAAAAGAGTAGAGAATGGGGCTATACTTTTTCATTTCTGAATCAGCTGTAGCTCATGTCTGGCACCTGTTGTTGCTGTTAGCTGCTGATAATCCAGCACAACCAAGCCCAGCAGGATGGGATAATGGTAAGTCAAAGGGTCATTGTCTAGTTCTCAGAAACAGAGCACCAGGCCTTCTTCCCAGTCCATCTTGGTCTGAAACCTGTTCTTCCTGATAGAACCGCTGCAGCTTCCACTGACAGGACAGAGGGTCTGCTCCTGAGAAGCACTGCCTAGCAATCGAACCTACCTGGGTCTCTACATGGAAGGTGAGAATTCTACCACTGGTCACTGCCCTCTTCCTGGAACCTAGAGAGTACTTAATAGTTATTCATTAACTGGCTGACATATAGAGTAAATGAATGAGTTCTCACATAGTGCTTTATACACATTGGATGGCAGTAAATAATTGATTTCTTCCAGACCATAGACCTATTGGAAATACAAATACCAATGAACATACTCCAAACTCTACTGACAGCATGTAACTCAATGGTTTTAAAACTATGTGCACACAGCTTTGAATTAAGTCCTTCACTAACTGCTTTTCACAGTTACACTTTATTCTTACTGACTATATGAGGAGGTGCCTTCCAAAGGCTTTTGGGAAAATGGAACCACGAAAATGGAATTGTTCCACAAACTTTTAATACATGCTTTTAGCTCAATGCCTATTAGTAAGAACTCTAAGCATACCATGTGAAACAGTGAAGGGTAGAAGCATCACATGGGTTCAAGTAAATACCGTATCCTCCCGAGAGTATCTGTAAACTTTTCCACAGAGCTACATTACAGAACATGTTCAAGACCATAAATAATTCTACTCAAATTGAGACACAATGCAAAGGATAAACAAATCCATTTGATATCTATTACCTGGGCAGTATTATATTACTGTGTCGATGACACTATACTTATTACAAATTTTATTGTTGCTTGGAGAGTACACTTGGCATTTAAAACTTCAAAAATATTCTAAGAACCCCAGCTCTCAAGTTGCTCTCTTCACCAATCAGTATTTTAGAATTTGTAGATGCTCTCTCACACAATGGACTCCCTGGCTGGTATAAATGGGTAGCATGCTTGGCTGCTAACTGAAAGGTTGGAAGGTCAAGTCCACCCCACAACATCTTGCAAAAAAAAAAAAGCCTGGCAATCTGTTTCAGAAAAAACAAAGCCGTCACTGAAACGCTATGGAGCCAAGTTCTGCCCTGACAGACATGGAGCCATCATGCGTTGGAATCAACAAAGGCAACGAAAGGTGATGGTGGCTTAGTAAACCAGAGAATGGCAGCGTGTGCCAGCGGGGCCTCGAGGTTCCTCCAGAAGACGATACAGAGCCAGAGCAGATCGGAACCCAGGCTCCCTCAGAGAAAGCAGATGGCCCCACCGATGGGGGAGCATATGTGAGAAGATGTGAAAACAGAAGAGGTGTGAGGTGATAGTAAGCTGATACAATAATCGCATTGCATGATTAATTGATTTTTATCTTTTAATGATGAAGTACAAAACACACACACACATACTATCCTTTCTTAGGGCTGGTAAGGTAGTAAAGAGAAATCCTCAAACTACATTTTTTTTCCTTTTAAAAAGGGGTAAATATTATTCCTAGAATATTATCCCATGATTCCTGGTAAGTAAATCCATTTTAAAGTGAAATCTGGTAATTTATAAAAATCATTCAGGGTCTAAATTTTAATTAATGCATTTAACTAGAAGCAGACATTCATTTCTTTCATAAAAGTTAGCTACACTATGTTTTTCAATTAATGATCAATTGCTAAAGAAATCTCTAAAGGCAAGAAACATTACGTTCTCCGCTCTGGTGCACAGGTAAGGTGACAAATCGCATCAAAGCACACCACAAAGGTTGCTTTATGATGCATCAAACAGTGTCTGTTGAGAACCTTTGCTTGTTAATTAAAATGTCAATTAATTCAGAAATTCTCCATGACATTAGCCATGTAAGAAAATAAGTAAATAATCTTTATGGCAGGACTTTGCCATATCACAGCATGATTGTGTAAATTGTAGTAGCCTTTGGAAATATATCTGATATATTTATTTTTAAATAAAATATCAAATATAAGTATATGGAACACATTTCCAGTAAGAATACTTAATGGATGTTTGAATTGATTATTTGAAAGACCTTAGTGGAAGACAGTGTTGAGCACAGATTCTTCAACTGGACAACCTGGATGTAAGTCTAATGGAAATATTTGTGCTTCCTTTCCCCTTCCGTAAAATCGGAGTAATAACAGTACCTATTTCATGGGGGAACTATGGTAAATAAATTAATCCTATAACAAGTTCTTATAACATTCCCTTGTATGCAGTAGCTGCAAAATAACAGAAGTACAACAGAAAGCAAAAAGTATTGATACTAGGGTTCAAGTTCATAGATCTATGGGTTTATTTCAAACAAAACCTGTTTAAACATGTGTCTTTGGTCAGTGGATTCGGTAGACAAGTTCTTTACATAATACACTTGTCTTGGTCTTATTTTGGGGGCCTTCAACAAAAAAGATCCAGTTCAAATCAAAGCAGAGGTCAGTTAGAAGGTTAAAATGATTATGATTGTCTCAAGACATAAGCTTGATAGATTTTCTTTTTTTTTTTTTTTTTATTTCACATTCATATATTAGCTGGGCGTTTGTCAAATAAATAGGGAGTCCTCTTTAGGTAGCCCACCCTCTTCTCGATAGTGTACTTTAGTGCAGTGGGGATGAGTCACTGACTGGGCAGGCACAGGGGAGGGGAGTGGAGGGCAGGGGCTGGCAGCAGGCACAGGCCAAGCATGGCTTAGGGTCAGAGGGGGCCTTCACGCAGCACCCAGGGCCGCGATGGCATAAACATGGCCCCTCCAGTTCCCGTCCCAGAGGCCCCTCTGGAGGGAGAGATGGAAAAGGAGAGAGCGGCCTCTCCAAGGCCTGGCACCCGAGCCCTGCCAGCTCCTGGTGAAATTCCAAGTCACTCGGAGGTGGCAAGAGTGCCCAAAGCCAGGGAAGGAAGGTGGTACGGCCAGGGTAGGGCCGGGCTGGATGTGGAATGTGAGCTGAGTGTGGGCCGGCCGGTCTGGGCAGAGCGGGCACAGGGAATGGGGGCGGTGTGGGCAGGAGCCCCTCAGGAAGGGGCTGGGCTCCCTCCCTGGCCAGGAAGACACAGCTGGTCTCAGAAGGTCGGAGATCGGAGCCAGCTGATGTCAAGCCGCTACCGGGAGGAGGGGCTGGACTGGGATGGGTGGAGGAGGTGGCCGGAGTCCCTCCCTGGGGAGATGCTATTTGAGTGAAACAGGAACCAGGGGACAGCCGACTTCCTGAGGCAGGCAAGCAGGGAGGCACCTCTCCACAGACAAGGGTCCCCTCCCCGGTGCCGGTTCCTGCTGTTTATCAGCTGCCCTGCAGGAAGGACCAGGGCCTCCCCACGCCTCCCCCAGCCCCAGGGGAGGGTAGGAGTTGTGGGAGGTGGAGCGCAGGAGGGGTC